AAAATTTCAACTTTGTCTGGCGCTTAATTGAGGTGTAAAATACAAAGTTTTTGTGGCACTGGCGCCTAATTGAAGGTGGCGCTTAACTGAAGACAAATACGGTAGCTTGATTTTTACTCCCATATCAGGATCACACAATGGGAGTCTTTGCTGTGACCATGTCTGTCTGTCTGTCTGTATGTATGTATGTATGTGTGTGTGTGTGTGTGTCTGCCATATTCACTCTACTGGTATTAGAAGTGCATCTAAAATAAAAGCATATATAACCAAAAATCATATTTGTTGTATACTGAACTATTAAAATATGACTTATTTGGACCATAGAAACACCTCTGTAATTATGTGAGTGCATGTGCTACCAATATAGCCAATGGCCTATAGTCAATTCTAAATAAAATTGGTGCACCTATATAGTACTGTTCAAGTATTTTTTAAATGAATATTGACACAGGTATAGAAATCCGTCTCACGACAGTATGGCTTTCAGAGCTGATGCATAATTATCATCGCGAGCCACCTATTTAGCGCTAGTGCAAAGAGTTGCTTTTCAAAAAAATTCGCATTTTTAAATAATGAGGACAAAATTTGTACTCGTGTGTTATCAAAACTAAGCACACTTGGAATAATAGATACACATGTATGTGGCGATAGTTTAATCCAGCAAGAGTGGTTGGGTTACTGTAATGTTCAAAATTCTGAAATTTTCCATGAAACTATCTCAAAAATGTTTTTTTTTTGAATAGTTTACAATTGGTTCCTATGGCAAAAACATTTCCTTGTGTCTCAAAATTGTGTTCGGTGACCTATTCTTTGAAAATGATATGTAATGCTATATAGTAGTACAAGTTATCCATGGAATAATGTGTTTACATGGAATTCAATGGAAAATGTTCCAAAATGGCAGATTTTTACATGTGTTTTCTTGGAATCGCATCCTTCTTTCTCCATAAAAATGTTAAATATGAATGACGTGCATGTATGTGAATTATCACTCAATTGAATTATTTACTGTGATCAACTTTTGTTCATGTTTTAATGGTACTACCTTAACTGTACTAAACACAAAGGTGTGCGTACTATTCAACTGATTGAAGCAGCAATATAATTCATTGTGTCTTTATGTTCTATTATCACTACAGATGAGGGCAAAGACATTCAAGCAGTTATCAAGATTAACACTGATTCTCTCAGACATGCAAACTTATCGAATCGTAAGTGTTTTTATACGGTAACTTACAGATTTTAATACGTTGCTGACGAAATGCCACATTACACATCCCTGTGCACTTACAATGGTGGGTAGCTAATATCTGAGTATTTTTCTCTGATGCTGCAATTTGCTTTGTTTGTAGCATTTATGTAAGTTACAAAAGTGTTTCTATGGTCAAAATAAATATTTAATGATTCAGTATACAACAAATACATTGTTTGGTTTAGATGTGTTACTATTTGAGATGTTCTTCTAATAGAACAAATACAGTAGCTGTGCGATTGTCTATTAGACAATCATAAGTGAAATATTATTCACTATCATCAGTCAATCTTTAAATAAATACATTCTTTATTATTTTCCAGAATTCTGATGCTGTGCAGTCCTACGATATTCTGGCTGTGCAACCAACAACAGAAAAGTTATTTCAGCTTGCATGCACACAGTTAGACATTGATATAATTCAGGTGAACATGACCGAAAAGATGCCC